GCCAGTTATATATTTATACATTTATTTCCAATAATGATAGGTTTGGTCCTCCATAGAGTAGATGCTTAGAAGGAAGAATAAGATATTTATTGGTGATTTTCACAAAACCCTACTTTAAAAGATCTGAATTATCCCTTTAAGTTCTTTATAGAGGCCTTTACCCTGTATTTTCTTCAAATCTTGTTTCTGATATTTGAGGGAGATTCACACTCGTCTCTGTAACACAGACACGTAAAGAGTTTTAGCTCTTTTGTTGTTGGTTCTCGAGGCCCCAGCTGCTGGTTCTACTAAAACTGGATGAAGACGCCCACGTCAAGTCTCCCCGCCTCCTCACGTTCGCCAGCCAGCTGAAGGCTGGAAAAGGCCTGACCATCGTGGGAACGGTTGTCGCAGGCAACTTCCTGAAGAGCTACGGGGAGTTTCTCGCTGCCGAACAGGTTTATTTGTGTTTTTAGATCTTTGGGTGACTTGAGAGGAAGTGACGCTTTCAGGTGGAGGCGGGCAGCTTTTTACTTGTTTGTTCTCCGTCAGACTCTGAAGCACCTGATGGATAAGGAGCGAGTGAAGGGTTTCACCCAATGCATCGTGGCTCAGAAACCCCACGAGGGAATCAGCTGCATGATCCAGTCCAGCGGTCTCGGAGGGATGAAGCCCAACACTGTAGTGATGGGCTGGCCTCACACCTGGAGGCAAAGCGAGGACCCCCAGGCCTGGAAGACCTTCATCAGTGAGTCAAACACTCTGATTCCTGTAAAACCCTTCGTTTATGATGTGTCAGGTTAACAGCGTCCCCTCCCCTCCTTCCAGACACGGTGCGGGTCACCACCGAGGCCCACCTGGCCTTATTGGTGCCCAAAAACATCTCCCTGTTCCCCAGCAACAGCGAGCCGTGCACAGAGGGCTACATTGACGTGTGGTGGATCGTCCACGATGGAGGGATGCTGATGCTGCTGCCTTTCCTCCTTCGTCAACACAAGGTAGAGGCGACATGTTTTTTTTAAATACGTTCCGTCGGCATCGGTGTTCTGATGCAGCTCGTCCTGTCTGCACCTGCTCAGGTGTGGCGGAAGTGTGGGATGAGGATCTTCACGGTGGCTATGATGGAGGATAATTCCATTCAGATGAAAAAGGATCTGGCCACCTTTCTGTATCACCTCCGCATTGAGGCTGAAGTTGAAGTGGTGGAGATGGTGCGTTCACAAGAAATTAAGATAATAATAGATGTTTGCTCTGGGGTCTACATGTTAAGACAATAACTAATCGAATCCCCTCTCTCTCCAGCATAACAGTGACATCAGTGCATACACCTACGAGAGGACACTGATGATGGAGCAGAGATGTCAGATGCTCAGACAGATGAGACTCTCAAAATCAGATCGGGAACGAGAGGTACGTTTGTATCAGACTGCAAATCTGAGAAAATGAGACAGGATCTTCAACATTCATTTATTTACACATCTATCAGATGGTAGCAGATTAGACCTTTATTGTCATTGTACAGAGCACAATGAAATTACATTTCAGAACACCCAGTCAGAAGAAGACAGAACATAACAAACACAAGAGAACAGGTGCTCTGGGTCATGAAGACACTGACCCTGCACAGAACAAAGATCATCTTCATRAAGGCATCATGAGGAGGCACAACCCTTAACAGAAAAACTAAAAAACACACAAGGACAGATGAGGGAAGATGAGCACTGATGAAAGATAGGGAATTAAACAAGAGGTGATGTGAATGAGCTTGGATTCTGTTGAGCATCGAACAACTAGTCAGTTGTGTTTGAGGTTCTGTAGTTCTGGGTTCATGTGCCCAAAACATATACCTGTCAGCTTGTCTGCACTGGGATTGAAATAGAACATAACCTCAGGAAGTGAGAAGCTGCAGCTCTCTCTGGTGTTGCTAAAAGATATTGCATCCTCACCAATTGTCTGGTCATTTTTGAATGAATGTTCTGTCAGACAGTAATAGTCCACCATAGCCAACATCAAACCTCTATAGCTAATATCAAACCTCTATAGCTAACATCAAACCTCTATATCTCAATATTCTAAACACAGAAAATACTGAACCTGAAAAAAGGTTATTTAAAGTCTTGAAGCTCCTATCAAGCAATAATAAGTGTGTTTGTGTCACTTTATTATGAAACCTCATGTTGTTTCCTTTTACTGCTGCTCTCCTCAGAGGGTACGCTGGAGTTTTGATGATGTAAGTTTATTTTGCACCACCTCACTTTAGTAGAACAGATGCTGTCTGAAGTAGAGCTGATTAGAGTTGAATGAAAACCTCAGAACTTCTGTGAGAGCAGTGGAACCCATCAGAAAAACAGTGGAAACATTTTATAACCTGTAATTGTATATAAAAAACTGATGGCTCAAACATTACTCCAGTCATTGGTTGTTGGATGAAAATCTTTAACCTTTTAGCTGCCTGTGGACACCTTGGTCCAATTCTGGCTTCAGCTTTCAGGATTCTGTGTGGTCAGAAATTGGAAGACAAGATAAATTCCTTCACTGGATAACAGAGTGATACTAAAGACTTAATCTCTCTTTTTTTTTATCAAAGGTAAATGTTTTGGGGAAGATGACTGTTATTGGTCAATCTCTAGGTTTGGGCGGTATGACAGTATTTTGGTACCGCGATATTAAAATATAGTGACAATATTTAAAAATGATGACGTATGAGTCATGTCACGTGAGGTAATGCACCAAATGTCTCTGAAATTTCTACAAGGCTGCTATGAAAACTTGGACATAAACATTCTAGGCTCTCCTTCAGAAGATGCCACGGGCTGGTGTAGTGTTGACTGACACCTTTGGGGACCGCCCAGCTGTAGATTACTTACCGTATTTTTCGGACTATAAGCTGCACTGGACTATAAGCCACACCCCCAACATAAAAAAACAGTACACCCAAATTTGCCATCAAACAAGTGAATTCAACATCAAAACATAAAAAGCAAACCTTTAGGAATTAAAGTTCGGAGGAATACGGTTCATTTAACTGACCTTATTTTGGTAGTTTTCTTTAACAGTTTCTGGTCCAACAAAACATCTCATTCATCTTCCTCCRGCGCACTGAAAMCATCGAAGTCCTCCTCTTCAGTGTCGGAGTTAAACAAGCTGAGAAAAGCTGCGTCACACAACGGTATCTGTTCAGTGCTGCTTTCTGTGTCGCTGTCCTCCTGGGGTAATGCTGGCTCTGAAGCTGTGSTGGGAAAGCCCTCCCGCTCTAGCATACGTCACTGCATGGGATTCCTTCCCCGGGGAGTGCAATGAGGAAAAAATAGTCAGCAGCTCTTCACTCGACTTTTATCCACAAACTGGTCCTGGATTAAGCTCCAAAGTTTTTATCAGTCAGATTCCACCGTGAAAAATGTCTGTTTTGTCCCCTTTTATGAGTTTTTGGCCATTGAATATCTTTAAATAGCTGCTTCCTGGTACAACAGTCGGCTCTGGAAGCGATCGCTTTTTTCTTTTCTTTTTTTTCCTTTCTTTTTTTGAAGCGAGTGGTTGAAGBAAATGGAGCATAAGAGCCCCCTGGTGGCTGAAGAAAAAAATCCATGTATAAGCCGCACCGGACCATAATCCGCATGGTTCAAAGTTCAGGAAAAAAGTCGCAGCTTATAGTCCGAAAAAATACGTTAAGTCCAACCCCCGTAGCTGGACTCTTTTTTATTTATTTTTTTATTTAAACGCTCTGATTTTTATTTATTATTTGTTTGAAACAAGTAAGCTACTGACTGCAGAGGAGGAAATAACTACAAAGTTTATCGGCACAAAGAATGGCTAAAAAAATGCAGCAGCACAGATACAACCATGGGAACAGTCAGATTTGTTTTATAACTTAAAACCCTAAAAACACCCAAAAGGACGTAGGCTTCTGGGATGTATTTCGATCTGTTTGGCGTAATAAGGAGCAAAGCCATTCTGTGACTCATGCCCTGCTCTCAGAGTGACATCTACACTTCAGAGCAGCTGAGTTTTTTCCACGCCGCTCTGGCTCTAGAATGTCAAGCTGTATGTATGTAAACAGCTGTTTCTCCGTTAATTATTAATTACTCAACACGCCACAGAAGATACCCCCAACCCCCCAGTTAATACAGTATACTGATGTATTTTCTAAAGATTATACCGCAATATGAGGATGATCAATACCACCCAACCCTAGCCATCATACACAGTTGACTGACATCTCACTGCAACACATGGAGGAAGGAAGCTCTACATACAAGACAAAACCCTGGACTGTTTTCTACACCTCAAACTGAAAAATGTGGTTTTGATTCTGTGACTTTTTATACTCCGTGATCCACACGTTTGTACCACCCCTAGAAAGTGTGTCATATCTTTTTCCTCCCCCAGCTGTAAGGTCAAGGTAACAAATCTGGGGATGGGTACTGAATTCGATACTTTTTTAAGTACAGACCGAATTCTGTCGTTACTACCGAGTACCTATTCCCGTAACATCAAACGGTACCATGTTTCGGTACCTAAACGCATCATTGTGACCGTATTGGCATAAGAGTGGTGAGCTTTCCATGCTTGTCCTGAACCACTGGTTCAGTAAACAGAGCTCAGAACGTAGCTTTAAAACCTCGCAGCTCCTGGAGTAAAACTCGCCAAACAGACCACCTCTGAATTATCTGATGGATTAATTATCTTGTGAGCTCGACGTTCGCTTGCTCAAAGTAAATAAAGTACCGCCACTTTCTTTATTTCATCCACCATTAAACAGAGACCGGCAGAGGAAAACAACAGAGGAGCTTCCCGACAGTCCGAACACGTCTGACCTAAAGAGCACAAGCAGCTAACTTAAAGTGTTGGACACGTTTTCGATGCTCAAAACGTAGCTTGAATACCTTTTATTAATTTTAACTACATCCTCTTTTGCTTATTTGATTTAAACTTATTTGCCTTCCATKGACCTCCATCACACAATTTTTCTAGTGGGGAAATGACATCAATAGGAACACGTGGAGCTGAATTTTAATTTGTGCAATAAGACAAAACAGTCTTGTTGTTTTCAAGTGTTTTCACTTTAAAGAAATAAGTTACACAACTGATGTTACAATACAAAGAGTTGGATGATGTCTTGCTATTTGTTAAATTTTATATTGAGAAAAATGTAAAAAAAAAAAAAAAAGGTTTTTTATTTAAAAAACAACACACACAAAGTACCAAAAACTGGTACCCATTAAGTACCGGTATAGATTCCCAGGCACCGGATATTGGTACCGAATCGATTCAAACGTCAAAGGTACCCATCCCTAAACAAATCAAGGTCAAACGTTAYGCAGGTCTTTTCTTGTCCATATTGCTATTGATTTCAGTATTACTGTATAATAGTTTGTTAACAGGTGTATGTGGTACTCTTGGTAAAACCGTGGTAAACTGTGCAACCAAAACCAACCCAATCCTAAGCCTTCAAGTCTGTCTTATAATCTATTTACTATAATTTGACTTACTTCTAAATACATTCACAGCTCCGTCCACAAAAACATTTATTTATTTTCTTTCCGTCTTCCACTCATCTTGCTGAAGTTCAGATGACTCGGCTCTTGTGTGTCTTCAGCAGTGTGAGCTCTTAGTTGTGCACCAGTAGTTGTGCTCCAGTGTTTCTGCTGAAGTAGATGCGGCCTCAGTTGTGTTTTTAGTAGGTCAGGTGACTGTGTGTTGTGTTTAGGTGTATCTTTCCACCAGGTTCAGGACTTCTGGAGTCCACACATCAAACACCATCAAAGGAGACAGACCTGGACAGGTACAAACAGACAGAGACAAACGACAGTAAGAGTCAGGCTGTTAGAGGAGTCAGGCGTCGCACCAGGTAGAAATAAACCGCTTTGAACAGGATGAAGCATGTTTGTGTTTGTGTACCAACCAGGCCCAGCTGGTGAAGGACCGGAACTCCATGCTGCGTCTGACCAGCATCGGTTCAGACGATGAAGATGACACCGACGGAGGAGAGCGAGACCGAGCGGTGAGCGGCGGCAGCACAGAGCACCAACGTCGCGTCCAGATGACCTGGACCAAAGAGAAGACGTCCCAATACAGAGTGGCACACTCGGGCTGCTCCACACCTGAAGGCTTCAGAGACATGCTGAGCCTCAAACCGTGAGGAGGAACTCTCTTCCATTAGATCGCAGCAGCATCATCATCGTCGTCTTAATTAAAAGGTTAAATGTATTAAATGTGGTGTTCCCGCAGGGACCAATCCAACGTCAGGCGCATGCACACTGCCGTCAAACTCAATGAGGTCATTGTCAATAAATCACATGATGCTCGACTAGTCCTGCTCAACATGCCAGGACCCCCAAAGAACTCTGAGGGAGACGAGAACTGTATCCTTTAACGCTGAAGATGAGACGTTCACTGGCTCCATGTTGACAACTTTCACACTGTATTCATTGTTAAATGTTTCCAAAATGTTTGCAAAGATCAGTGACACTTTAGCTTTATTTGAGTTTCAAACTCATTTTGACTGAGGGTCACATGAGCAGTATGGTGGTCCTCAAAGAGTCCTTTGTAATTGTGTGAATGCTTATAAAGCTTTCTCAGTGTGATTGTTTTTTCTTACATGTTTTTCAACATGTATCTCCTTATGCAATTTTTTTAACTATTTCTACAGTTTATATATCAAAACGTTCAGCTCCTTCAGGACATTTTGCCTATGACTTTTGGAACTTTAGCAATTTATACTTTTTGAAATATGTCAAGCTTTTCCTGCCATGTTTTTCTCATAAAAATGAATAGGGCTGTTTTCAATGTCTTTTCTGTACGTTTTACCTTTTTGTTTTAGTTCTAGTTTAATTAACTCCTTTATACTAATGTCAGCTTCTTTTTGCTTCTATTTTGCTGATTTTAACTTTTTCTGCAGTTTTAGCTATCATTCTGATGTTTTTGACTACTTTTCGGCTAATTTCAACTTTTTGTGCTTTTTGCTATTTTAAGCTTTTTATGCTTCTTTCAGCTGCTTTCTGCTAATTACAGCTGTTTTCTGTGTTTTTAGCTAATTCAAGTTTTTTTTCTGCGTAATTAACTTTTTTTTGTGATTAGTTTTAGCTTCTAATTGCWTAATTCAGCAAACATGCTGTTCATTTATTTGTGCAAATTTCAGCTACTTTAGGCATTTTTAGGCTYGTTTTAGCATTTTTAGCTATTCAACAAAAAACTTCCAGCATTTAAGCTGCATTTTCACAGGAATTGCTAACTGTTTAGCTAACTTCAATGTTTCTTGTTTAACTTCAGCTGAACATGAAACGTAGAGTTTCTCGTCTCATTGCTAYAACTGAGCACTGCTAACAAACACTAACTGAGCTCTACCTGGTTTTTCCTGCATAGAAACAGAGTTTTAACACGTCCTTTTATAAACACTGAAAAGTACTACRTGTTYGACTGACTGAATGTTAAATAAATACAGAAATACTATGAAATGTAAAAGTAAGAGTTTTAGTCACTGATGAGTTGTGGCAAGTCTTGAATTCTGAACACTCCCACTTTCCTACAGGGAATTYCCATGTGTAATGGACATGCATTATGGGAGATGTAGTTTATGGTCAATACTGGCTTTAAAGCAGCTTATTTTGAGACATGAAAACAGGGCCGTTCAACTAAATTGCTTAGTTACTTCAAGCCAACAGGGCAAGTATTATCTTTCACCTCCTAAATGTGTTTATTTTGTTGCATCAAATCCTAAATTAAAAGTTTACAATTTGCATCAAACTCTTCATATTAAATGAGGTGGGGCTTTTGGCGGGCCGCACAGGCCTTGATGTAACCAGCTGGCAAATGTTCATTAACTCCCACATCAGACATGGAGTTCCTGGAGGTCCTGACYGAAGGTCTGGAGCGTGTGCTGCTGGTCAGAGGAGGAGGAAGTGAAGTCATCACCATCTACTCCTGATTGGACAAAGACAGGAAGAGCAGAAACGGTTTGGAGTGAGGGGCGCAGAGGGTGAAAGGTGGGGGAGGGGCTCACTGAGACTCACCTGCAGCAGCGTTGCTCATCACACCCAACAGCCCGCCGTTATATCCTCTTTTTTTTACCGTCTTAAAAACGGTTCCCTTTCCACTTTTGTCCGCCTGAAGAAACGCCAACACAACTCCTCAGAAATAACAGCAATCATTTGTGTGTGTGTGTGTGTGTGTGTGTGTGTGTGTCATCTGAAAGATCGCTGATGTGTTGGAAAGACCAGTGTTGTGTTTGAGCAGCAGAACTGGTAACTTTAAAGACAAACAGAACATGTGAAGCCTCTCAGATCAGTGCAGTTATTCCACTGATGAGACTCAGGGTTGTTCTTTTTTGTACTGAATGTAATTTTGGAAGAATATAGGAGCTTGTTTAATGAGGCCTGAATGTTTAAAAACAAACGAGTATTCATTTATTTAGTTTAAGGCACATAAACTTTTTATTCCAGCACCACAAAAAAAAAAATGGAAATGCAACGTAAACACAATGAAAGATGTTTGATTTAAAACAGTTTCATTTCAAAGTCAGTCCAGGAAACATTTCCATGGACGAGATGTTTCTTTTATATCCCAGCTGTGTACGTCCTGGAAGATAAACTTTCAAATTTAATTTGCACACGTTTCAAATCTTAAAACTGTTTTTATTTGTACAGATTATTTAGTTTACCTTTTTATTAGAATATATTGTGACCAAAAGCCTGGTTCTTAGTTTAGTTTCAAATTCTGAAAAATGAAACAGAAATCTGAGAACGACTCTGGTTTTTGAGGCAGAGCAAAAGGAAATCGCACATTTCCTTATAAAGACATTCCAGAAACATAATTTATTGATTGATTAGGTTAACATTTGGAGATAAGGTCGAATTTATTGAGAAAATGTGCACCTTAATGTAATACTTCACCTTTGAATACCACGTGTTAGTAAAAAAAAAAACATTCATGAGCTTTTAAAATCACCAAATTTGATCTATAATTTAGAACTTTGCTGTTTTTCCTCTTTTTGTAATTTATTTTCACGTGGAGCTGTTTTGTTTTGTTACTGAACAGGCTCCTGTACTTTTGTTAATCTCTCAGATTAAAACAGATTTACAGAATGGCACATATCTTTTCTGTTTGACAGCCCACTCTGATGTTGTTTGGTCTCCATTTTGGAGTAGAACCAAGTGAAATTAAATGGAGCTTAACTAGAAGAGACATTAGACATTTGATAAACTTTTACTACAACTGCACAACAAAGACTAAAAATACTGTATACAGTTCAGTTTTTWAAAAAGTAAAGAATATATTGTCACATAAAGGCGACACATTAATTACGTAGCAAAGCATGCTGGGTAAATTATGACTTGCTATTCCAGTGCTCTATCCAGCTTCAAGGTTAATTTTATACATCTGACATTCAGCTGTTTTAAATGAAACCAGAGTGCGTCGACAGAGAGGAAAATGTAAATCAGTCTGCTACTGAAAGTGTTGAGGACAACAGAGCTGCTTCATGGAAGGAGACGCTCTGATTTAGCCTCATAGCTTTCACATTAGCGCCTAAGCTAATGCACGTATGGCGATTAATAACTCGTTCCATTTATATCGTATTCTGGAACTGGGAAGTGGTAGTGACGTAATTCCCCAACAAACCGTGTGAAACTGTATTCTAGTTAGCCCACTGGTGATTGCGTTGCTGCTGCTAACCTAGTTACCACACTGTTACAATATAAACAATAACAAAGAGTTCGGCTACAAACGTCATGCACATAACAACAGTATTCGCATAAAATGCACTACTTTTATGAGTGATTAAACACGCAYAAAAACATTAAGAATAGTAATTAACAGTAAATTTACAGAGTTAACTTTCTAAATCTGTGAGTAGCAACCATCCTGAAATTGAAACTGGGTGTAGTCGCAGCCACTACCGCTATGTGGGATTGGATGGGATTTAGCACAGTTTAAATTTATGAATGGGAGCAAGGGAATTTCCACTTCCCTGTGCCACTGGAACACACCAATAGGGTTAGCGGCCAAGCTAATACATGTATAAATGGCAGTATAGTGTTAGCGCCTGAGCTAATAATATTAGGTAATATTATTGGGCAAGGCAAATTTATTTGTGTAGCACATTTCACACCAGAAGGCAACTTAAGGTGCTTTTACAGAATTAAAACTAGTTAATATGAACACAAAGAAGCAACATTAAAAACAATAAAAAAATTATTACTAGGTCATAAAAGCTAATAATAGCGTGGAAACTAACACCACATATATGTATGATGAAAGTTCTCCAGCTAATATTATAARCTATGCTAATAATAGTAATTAATAATATTAGCTCCGCCACTAATGCTATATCACCGTTTATATATATTAGCTTGAGCGCTAACGCTAAATCACCATTTATACATGTATYAACTGAACGTAATCATTTACCCAGTGTGCTTTGTGGTGTAAATAATCTGGCGCTGCCATTTGACAATATACTTTTTACATTTATAAAAACTAAAAAGCTTGCAGTTTTTTACAGTATTTGTTTTGCAGTAGAAGTACATGTTTATCAAATAATGTGTAATGGTTACAACAGGTCGGGGTTCCCTTTAAGACCAGGACTGGGGTTTTGCATCATGTTCCTGGATTTGTTGATGTCAGTTTCAGTTCCTGAAAAAAACAAACTAAATGATGCCAAGTTCACTGGAAGTGAAGCTGCTGGACTGCAGCTGAAATGTTAATAAGTTAAGCTGATGTTTTTGTTTGTAGTTGTAAAGACCCTATAAGAGGGGAAAACCTGGAAGTATTTTTGACAAACTGGACCATTGTTGYGCGGGCCACTTACACTGCATGTGTGTATATGTTTGTGTGTCAATGTGTTCATTTAGCGTTCCTCATTGATAAACTCTTGGCAGTGTTATGTAGTACGAGCTTGTGTCCTGATAACTCGTCTCACCGCACACCTAAAAGAAACTGGCTCACATCCTGCTTCGTGAAGGACTGACCGCTCGTGAGCTTGTTGTTAAATTTAGGATGTTCAAACTAGAGTCATTTGATTCCACTTTTATTTTTTATTTTTTTACAATCCTGTGCAGGAATTGTTTTATGTTGATTACTTTAACATTGTTGTCTTGCTTGTACATAAGAACAAATAAGATTGTGCGTTTCACCTTTTTTAAATTGCATTATTATAAAATTCATAAAAACTGCTTTAAAAATGAGAATAAAGCAATTTTAAAGAAATGCGTAATTGTGATGTTTTTGTTTTGTACATTAATGCTTGATGATTTTGAAGTATTTTTTTTCTGTTAACAAAGAAATTAAACCYAAGATGCAAAATTGTATTGTTACAAAAACTGATATGAATTTTTGTCTTGACTCTGCTAAAAACAACTTATTGTTAATAATTAGTCATTTTATTTTATTAGGACTATGTGGCAGCTATCAAATAATTTTAACTTTCAATAGTATGCAAAACCCTAAAAGACAAAAATAAATAAATAAAACTGAAACCTAAAATGATAGCAACTTTCTTGATTATTTAGTGCTTTAAATTAAATTGCTGTTTGTTAATGACAGTCAGGATTTCAAAAATAAATATATATAACAAAACATTTCAAACACAGAAACTATTAAACTTAATGTACATTAATGAAAAGAAAAATATATTAGTTATGTTTATTGCGGTTATTATTTTACAGACTATATTATTAAATCTGTTTAGTCATGCAGTAAGGTCAGCTGTGCCGTCATCTTTTATTTTGAAATACTTTGCTGCGTGATGAGGTCACTTCCGTGTACACGTTCAAGCCGGTGCCATGTTGTGAAATTTGAGGAAATAATTWGTGGGCGAAGTTCAGTAGAAAAAGTGGGATTTAATTAAAAATAATTTAAAAAAGCAGGYGAATCGTGGATTTTATCTGAGGCTGAGCATGGAGGTAAGAGTTATTGGAACTATAACATGTTTTATGTGGTAAAATAATCACTTAAATGAACATCTCACGATGTTTGGTTTCTGACAAAGATGCTCTTGTTGAGTGGATTTGATTTACTTTATTTTAATTTTTAAACTACCAAAGTCGAACTTGTGTCAGTTCACATATAAAGGGAAACTTTTACGCTTTACTTCTCACTTCAAATTTAAATTTGTATTTTGTGAGGTTTTGTGACCCCAATCCTTTTCGAGAAAGCTTAATTTMAGTCTTATTTTTCATAGAAATGACAATAAGTAGTACTTTGGACTTCAGTCCTGCTGCAGTTTTTGTTATAACTTTGTTCATTAGCGTGTGTGACGGCAGCATATTGTGAAATGTCAAAATTTTTAACCCACAGTGAGATTATTTCTGGTTTTACTGGGACGTCATTTGAAACATCCTGTTCTGGATTTCAAAATAAAAGTAGAGGAAAGGAAAATTATACGCGTAACCACAGATTACTCTCAATGGGGTAAATATACCTATTATTTATTTTAGCAAAGCTCGATTTATTTTGAAAATATCAAGTGGAATTTATGGTCACGGGTGAGCTTAGTTTTACTGCCATCTATCTATTGGACWAGTGAAATTGAAGGAATTTAAAGATCCTGTCATTTTTAATTATAAAAATGTAAAACATGCTAAATTGTAAGGCAGCAGCTGAAGTTAGTGCCTGTTAAAATGCTCTTTCTGCCTTTAAACAGTTTTTGTTGTGGTGACACTTGTGCAATTACTTTAATTTTTTTTAATTTTAATTAATTTAGTTTAATTTAGTTTTTTTAATCAAGGATTAATTTGAAAAAGCCTTTTCTCAGTCATTTGCTCTAATGAATTATTATTACAAACGGAGGTTGTGCAAATATATGGACGAGGATTAGTGCCACAGCAAAATAATAATGATGTTTCCCTGAATTCTGACTTTAATCTCAGAATTCTGAGGGAAAAGTCATAATTCTGATTTTTTTCTTAATTTGTAGAGTAAAATCCGAATTCTGAGGAAAAAGAAGTTTGGAGTCAGGATTTATTTATTTATTTATTTCTGAGGCCCCAATCCTCTTTCATACAAAGAGCCTTCTAGTACAATAAGACTCAACTTTTCACTGAAACCCACTTCAAAATGTCAAAGTTTATTTTCAAAGTTAAACGGTGACCTTTTTGCAGTTCCTACCATGTATGTGTAAAACCTGGCTCCATGYGCTGAAATACATAAATAGTATTTTCAGTATTCAAGGTTGTGGCTCAACGTTTAGTTCTTTACACTGGCTTTGGTCCAGTCATCCATTATCTCCACCTGCTTCATACAAACATGTTTATAAATTAGTGTTAGTATTTTCATGCGATGGCAACATAAATGTTTCCAGATGTCAGAATGATTTTAAACGCAGCTGAAATGCTGTTTAGACCAGTGTTTCCCAAAGTTGGGGTCGGGACCCTAAGTGGGGTCCCGAAACATCAAGGTGGGGTCCTGAAAAAAGTTTCTGAATTAATTACATTTTTGTCTTAGTTGTTACGAAGGAGTGAGGTTAATGTATTTAAAATGGATAAATGTAGAAAAAAATATATTGTTACTATGCCCATGTTTTGTTGACCTGATACAAATGTTTATCATACAAAAATAGCTGGTGGCACAGGTCTCTGCTACTGTTATTTTGTGGGTCAAAAGCTGAAAAGTTTGGGAACCACTGCACTTTGGTTCCCAAAGTTGGGCTTGGGACCCAATTATGGGTCATGAAGCACCTTGGATAATCTCCAGAAATCAATTTAAAGGGTAATAAAATAATTGCTGATGTAATATTTTCCCTATAATTATTACAAAAACACAAAATAAGTATTTATATTTGTGTACAAGCTGTTTAGATTGTCAAAAAGCCTGTGTTTTTAGGGTTATTAATGAAGYTYGTGTACTCAGACCAGTAATATTTGGGGTCACAAGTTTTTGCCATGGATATTTTGTGGGTCAGAAGAYAAAAAGTTTGGGAACCACTGGTCTAGACTAGTTGTGGTTTGAAGAACTTCATTACCCATAATGCAGTCCAAACATGGACACTGAGCATGCGCATTAGAAATAGTAGGCACTTTTGTTTTGAAAATCTTGTCCCACATCCGTCTAATCCATGATCCGTGTTTCGGTTTTCCATTGAGCGTCCTAGCCCGGGCCAGCACGTCTTCGGGGACGGGTTCTCCTCGGTTCTGTCAGGCGAACACCTGGTTTCCCCGCACCTCTGAGGACAGGTCGGCCCTCGGCAGCACGAGCGAATGAGGCGTTCGAGGACCGACGGACAAACGAGCGCCTGGCTGCTGTCACACGGAGTACCGCAGCTTTGCGTCAACCTAAAGCCAGCTAAAGCTAAAGCCGTGCTGGGACGAGACGAGTCAGCAAGAAAAAGACTGTTAAGAGCCACGTTTACCCCGGCGGCTAGACAGCCAGGGCAGGTTATTGGTGGCGCACACATCCTCGGTTTCTGCTGTTAAAGCTGTCAGGAATCAAAAGCAGAGCTCATATTGTGTCGGTGTATTTGGGGCTACCTGAGCGGCTTATCCGAAAACATTTCAAGCAAAACCAAACGAAGAAAGGATTCGTGAAGGCTTCGCAGCAAACACATGAGGCCCGGCTGAAAAAAAAAGAAAAAAAGAAAAGAGGAAGATGGATCTGAATTTTTACTCAGATTTGACGGACGGTACCGGACAGCACGGTGACCCGGAGTTCCTGGACCCACAGTCCTTCAACGGGTTCGACTCTGACAACAAGGTGACCATCAGAGGCAGCCGAGTCTCACTCCACTGACCTGACACATGTGGTTTATTTAACGCTGCATAGCTTCAGTTAGCAGCATAGTTTCTAATTAAGTTTAATTAGAATCACCTGGAATCATCCACTCCTGACGSGTGTACACTTTTACATCAAACTAGTAGTTTTTCTACAACTCTTAAAGACAGGGTTAATAAATTACAGGAACCAGTCGAAGAATTGGATTAATGGTTATGTATGATACAAACATCATTCTCTGTGTAAATTAGATTGAATCAAGTCAGTGTGAAATGGATTTCCTGTAATTTATTGAACTAAACATTCCCAGTAAGCCTTTCATTAAATGTTAAGTTTAAAAACAATATACTTCAATTCCCACTGTTACTTTATTTTATGTCCAGTTTTAGCTGATCTTCAAATTCAACATTTTGTTCCAAGTTCTTGCAGATGGCATAGCTCAGGCGTGTCCAGTCCTGGTCCTGGAGGGACACTGTCCTGCATGTTTTACTTGTTTCTCTGCTTCAACACCTGATGGGAATGAATGGGTGATCATCAGGCTTCTGCAGAACTTGAAGAGGCAATTCACTCACTGAATCAGGTGTGTTGGAAGAGAGAATCGAGGAAAAGTGTGCAGGATGGCTGACCTTCAGGACCAGGATTGGGCCTTCCTGGCATAACTGCATTAAATTTGATAAAGTGAATTCTATCATGTGTGAGGGTGGCTCCAAATGACAACAAAAAACTGTTTTCTCCACCACATCTCTGAGTCGATCGTCCAAATGGAGAAATTCACTCACCGCTTGTTCTTCTGAGGAAACTCATCTCTTCTTCCTCCAAACTGGTTTGTTTATGGTAGCATCGGAGCTGTGACTGTTAAAGACTAGTTGGTGAACAGCGTCTGTCTTTTCATGCGTTGAGTCACAGAGGCTTGCGTTAATATCGCTTGAGTTTTGAACGTGTTCGGAAAATTTGTGCGACAAATTTCCTTGCAAATGAGTTGTCACTGGAACCCTTCTCGGTTTAGTTGCAGTAACTCTAGAGCCGTATTTTGACACCCGTGTTGGAGCCTCCTTGGCTACAGTCCTGAATGTCCAGATTTGGTTTACAGCGACGTTAGATTATATTTAAAAACTGGTCCAGTTCTGTCTTCAGTACAAAATTGGACTCCGGTCAATAAAATCGTAAACATAAGGGTCTGCTGCCAAGGTGGGTACAAGCTGGGCTTGATGGGTATGAAATGAATGGAGGTCTCCAGCTTCTACCGCTTGTCTGTAATCAGGTCAACAGGTCCAGGAGAGGAAACCCAGACATGCCTCCCCTTAGCAAAAAGTAGTATACTTGAAGTTCGTTTTAATAAGTATACTTGAGTATACGTTTAAGTACATCAAGTATACTAGGGCACCATGTACTTGTACTAGAAAGTATACTGATTTAATACKTGTTCGTACTAAATTGGGGCTTTCGTTAGTTTATAAAAAGTATACATTTTATAAGTTTATAAACTTGCCAAAAAGAAGTATACTTTAAGTACATGTCATTAAGTATACTAAAGTACATAAAAGTGTATTTCCCTAAGTGTACTTTTATTTACCATGTACACTGATATAAGTATACCAGCAGTTTCTAACAAGTATCCGTCCAGGACTAAATTGGCCCACAAAAAGTTTATGAAAGTATACTTACAAGTATACTGAAAGTAATCTTCTAAGTATACTTTTTAGTTAAATCTTGAAATGTACTACAAATAAACCATTCTGTGTGAAAAATGTACTTTCAGTGTAGTACTAAAGTTTAWCTTGGCCAAAAGTTTAAACATTACAGACTAAGTATACTTAAACGTTTAGTATTATTTTAGTACAATCCAAGTATAATGAAAGATAAACTTGGTTAAGTATATAAATATATACTCAGATAAGTAAATAAAAATTAAACAGGAAGTATACTCTTGTAGTTTAAAATTAGTATACTTAATGGATACTTGCATATACTACTTTATGCTAAGGTTTTCCCCAGCGACATGTTCCAGTTCGTACTGGGGGACCTCGAGGCGTTCCCAGGCCAGAGATGATACGTAATCCCTCCACTAACTCTACCAGTTAGACGTGCCCAACCCCTCCTAAAGGAGGCATAATATTAGATGCCTGAACACCTCAACTGAATCCTTTCAATCTGAAAAGCAGCGACTCTAATCCAAGCTCCCGCCAGATGACAGAGCTCTCTAGACTATCTCTAAGGCCCGGCCACCCTACGAAGGAAGCTCATTTTGGCCGATTGTGTCTTGTTCTTTCAGTCATGATCCACGCCTCATGACCACAGGTGAAGACAAGACCTCAAATAGTCAACCATCTCCCGCTCCATCCTACCATCACTCGTAAACAAGACACCCACTTATAATAGGGGTCTAGGCCCGAAGACGCCAACAGAACCATGTCATCCACATAAAGCAGAGATGAGACCCTGTGTTTCCCAAACCAGACACCCTTCTCTCCACTGCACCTTGAGATCCTGTCCATAAACACTACAAACAGTATCAGAGACGAGGGACGGCACTGGACGTGTGGAGGTGTGCAACAAAATGTCTAAAATAGTTCTGCAAATTGGGTCGTTCAAAAAAACCACTGGTTGCAAAAACACTCAGAGTTCAGTGGAAGGCAACAGAAAATTTGCTAATTTTCTCGCAATTTTGAGTTGGTATTCTGAAACAGTTGCAGCCTGGCCTGGTTCACTCTTTGTTTTTAAACAGGCAGGATGAATTTTAGAACAGGAAATGTCATGGGGTTAAAGGGATCCATGATTAGGTATAACATTAGACTAAATTTAATAAACATATATTTTAACTGTAAAATAAAGACTGTAAAAATACTGTAGGCTGTTCCRTTTTTATCATTTTTAAACTAGAAGTTTAAAAATATATTTTAACACAGACAGGGCCATTTTATTTACTTTCAAAGCATTCTGGGTAAATGATGTGGGTAGGTCATTGGTGAGAGGCTGCTAGCGAGCTATATCCACC